ATGTGAATATTTTGAATGTCATAACCAAAACATGACATAAAATGCAGGAGAGGAAAGGCACTAATAAAATACAAATATATGTGAATATACATCAGGTGAATAAACACATCTTAGCTGATAAGTTTATGTGACACAGGAAGTGCAACTTTTGTCAAAACTAGGGGCACTTGGTGAATTAATGTAAAAATGTAATGTATATGTGTGCAGAGCGTTCCATCATTATTTTTTATTGTTTCACTGTTATTTAAGGTTTACAAACTCAAAGAAAAAAAAACCAGCTGACGCAGCTTAGATTAATGAATGCAATAAGACACATTTATTTGATAACATCCTACAGCTAATCTGAGGATTCAGTGTTCAAGCTACAGAAAAGAGTGTCTCGTTGCATCATCACCAAACCAGATAAATAAAAGTTAAGGAGCGACAAGCAGCATTATTCTCATAACTCTGATCATGCATTATAAATCCTGGATGTATTATTCATACGAGCAGAGAAGCACAGCTTAAGGATGTGGTCCTTTTCCTCTCCGCCTGCTGCTCACTGATTCGTGAGATAATCTAGTCTTGTTTTTTTTTTTGTTTTTTTCCTGAACATCTAAAAATGTCTCCACTCACCCCAAGGCCTTCAGGTAATGAATATTCTGGTCAGAAGAGGGGATTTTCAAGAGACTGAAAGAAAAACATAGTTTTAGTGTGATCTTTAAAGGTGCACTCCCAAAATTCCAAGAAAATATGCAGTATTTATTTTATTTTTTACGATTTTTTATAGCATTATACAATGTACATCAGATATATATGATATATATATAGATAATATCATATACATATAGATATATATTTTAAAACATGAACAGCTTTGAGAACACACAGTTCAGGTTAACAGCCGGTGTGTCACTTCAAATGTAAGGTTTAATTTCTAGTATGGCCTGAGGGGTGCAGCATCGTGACCACAACTGAGATGAGTCAGCAAACGTTTAATAAAGTATCATGAAGTATTGATAGCTAAGACAATGTAAACAGTCTCAGGGAAGAGTGTGTGTCATATTTTTATTTCCAGAAGCATAAATCTGACTAAGACAGTTTACCAGCAAAGTAATCGATGTGGTCCAGTATGGTCAGGTTAATGAAAGAACATAAAAAATGTACAGGCATAAAATAAGGTATGGCACTCAATAAACCATAACATAGATCAGTGATTCTCAACTGTTGGACCGAGGGCTGAAAACGGCCCGCTGATCCACCAATGGGTCAGCCATGACTGGATTCCAAATTTCTGAGGATAAAAGAGAAAATATTCTGCGATCTCCACTGTTAAAGCAACTGAAAAACAAACAAACAAAAAAACAACAACTGAGACTTAAATAACTATCAGTAATCCACACCAATTATGACCAAATATATTTGGTAACCCCTTAGACTATCCTAAATTCTAAAAAATATATTATATATTGTGTCCACCTGTTCTTACACCACCTAGGTGTGAGGTTAGAATTTAAAAATGTCCAAATATCAATGTTCATTCAACATCTGTTCAACTCAGATATGCTGTATCTAATGTGTCACACATTAATCACAAATAAATCAAATTGTCTTTAATGAATGGGTTCCTTAAACACCTATCCAGCTGAAGAAGAAGCCTGCAGTCATAATGACATTTTGTGTAGTCAACAAATGAATACACATTTATAAATTACTATGAATAAAAGCAGTGAATATAGAACAGTGTTTCAGCTCAGGACTTGTTTAATCCTTCTTTCAATTATAAATTAACAAACCTACGTTCACTGAGGCTCCAGATCACGTGACGCATTCAAAAATGTTCGGCTAAGCACCTAGCTACACATGCTTATTTGTTAAATAACATCCTATATTCAGCTGTATTCGGCAAAAAAAAAAAAACTTTAAAAAACAGACCTTAAGATCAGCAAAGGGTCAAGGCAGACAAAGGTACAGTTTAGTATGAAGAGAAAAAAAACTGACGGACGGTATTGGACTTGGGTGCAGAGGTGCTCACTGTTTTATTTGTGTAGGGATTGCAGCTGAACTACAGTAACAGCAGTTGACTCCTGACAAATATCAAGAGGGAAAAAGACAATGTCCTGTCCATGATTTATTCATTCTGTAGCCTCTATCTCTTGGCAAAAAAAATGCTTTTAATATTCAAGCCGTTTTTCTTTTATCAACCTTTAGGTCCGCAGTTTGGCAGGAACCCACTGTTATCACTGCTCTGGAGGAAATTATAGCTTTATCATGTGGCTCAGGAGCGTTGTCAGCCCACCTCAGGTACAGTACGACCTCCACCCTCCCATCCCTGACTTCCTACCAGTGTCTTTATCTTTCATCTTTATTAATCAGGATTGAAGGTCTCTTTATATCTAGGGAATATTAAAATTGAATAAGGATGGTTTGAGCATTTTTTTTTCATAAAGTGTCAGAACTCATTGTTCAGATTACCTCTATGTACAGCTGGGGTTTGGTTAGGTGTTAGAGCTAAATGTGCCCTATATGAACCTGTGGAACTTTAATTTTCTGTTTGTACCTGATGATATGAGCTTGGATATTAGCGTAAACCTACCTTAGTGAAGTCTTCCTTTGCAAAGATTAAAACCTGATTGTCTGGTAGCACAGATTGGAATCTGCAATATACAGTATATCTATATACTGTATAATGTGTACATTATATGTGATATTATTAGTTTGATATGAATTGTACATGTTGATAATACCCAATGTGCTGGTAGTTTAGTTTGGGCCAGATCTGCTTATTACTGCTGAACAGCAATTAGGGCTTGAAGAGTCGTTTATCTACAACAGCCGAGAACTTGATGAACTGAAGACAGATTGAGTCGCGGCTGAGTTTTATTGATCCGTAATCGAGAGCAGGGGCAGCATATTCTTCCTCCTATCCATGGGGATGTCACTGATTAATTGTTGCAGTAATCTGGCTGACCTGTCTTGTGTGGCTTTGAGCTCATCAATGTGAAGACTCCCACCCAGATTTGTCCTCCCTGATCGAGTACATCCCAAACAGGACGGGACACATGTGGTGTCAGAGGTCCAGTCTCCCTGCAGTCCACACACTGGAGGAGAAAACAACACGTTCAGCATGTTAATCAATCAAAAGTGCTACAGCTCAGTTTCAGGCAGGGCAGGGTGTCAGTGGGAGGACTGCAGGCTGAGAGCCAGACCTGTGCTCATGACACTGGCTTTTTGTGTGTCGTTTGAAAGCAACTGTTTAAAAATAACCCTCTGCTACAAAAAAACAACATTCAGGTTGATACATATGTAGAAACAATAATAATTCCAGTCATTACCATAATTATAAAATAACCTCAGTAAAGTAGCCTACTTACCACTATGTGGTTACTATAGTTTTAATTTGATTAATCACAGTGAATTAATTGCAAATGATCATGATTAATCATGAACAGTATATCGCTGGAACAAAAACACAAATAACAGGAGGTTGATGTTTGTGTTGTGATGGATATCAAAAACTAATTGATGAAATTAATACATTGATTTTTACATTATCTCATAAAAATATTTTGCATAATGACGATTTTCCTATACTATATATATATGATTGAGTAAAGCTGTTACAGAATGCCATGACAACAGACATATGTGCGTTCCTCTTCCTGCAGAGACTTCATTTCTTTCCATAATATATCATATGTAGGAGACAGACCAGAGGAAATGAGGCCCTGCTTTATTGGTTAATTTAATAGCTGATTTAAATTCACTTCAGGTCATCCTTTTTTCTAACCTGCTTATACTCCTCAGGGTTGGCTGAGGCTAAGGCTTAGGCTGCAGAAATGAATTCCATCAGTTTGATTTTTTTTTTCTTTTTTCTTCACTTATATCAAGACCAACATTTGAAACAACAGGCTGAGCCACAGTTCAAGAGAGTTCACTATGGCCTGGCCATATGAGTTCTCTCATCAGGCTACACTCACTTCTGCAAACACTGGCTTTTTCTTGACTCCAGGCTACAATGTTTGATGAGCCTGGAAAGTTTTTTCATCTATTATTAATTCTTCTGTCAACAACTATCTAACAATGCACTTTTGTTTTTCAAGTCAAGCTGGGTCTTGAGTCTACAATGTGAAATGTTTTAGTCCATAGTAATCATGAGTGATTAAAAGTGTTTAACAGGGAAAGTTTTGTGGGATTAAAGAATCCTTCATTTTACTGCAGCTGTAGGAGAGTTCTTCTTCTGCCCTGTCTGCTGTTCTATCTTTGTGGATTGACTTATGGCTGCTGCTCACCTCTATCATCCTAATGCAGCAGCTGCAGCCTTAACTGCCCTTCAGCTGATGTGTGTATATTTGAAACATACAAGGTGCACCTCTCTCTTTTTTATTATTCTCCGATAATACGTCCACTGCTTCACACCCACACCCACACACACACATCTTTGTCATCAGCATATCATTTGCCCTGTCCTTGGGGGAAATTTACCCGCAATGAGGTTCATCTAATAGAACAGGAGCCACTTGCACCATCATGTCCACCACAGCCCACTCCCTAACATGTAGATTCATCATCCCATTCAGCAGCTTTCACATTAATCACCTGACAGGAAGCGCAAGTGCTGAGGTTGCACGAGATGCCGCTTTACTCTTTGACAAATGACACAGAGGTAAATATGTCAACAGGGCTGAAACTATTGCATCAACACACTTAGAAAAAAAGAAAAAACATAATACTATGGTGTCATAATTCTGCATTTGGTAATTTGTGTTTGAAAGTAAGTACCTGTGACAGATTGTGTCACAACACTGTGATTTAATTGCCGAAAACGTTGTTTCCTTATTGACGTGTGGACACATCACTTTAGTACTGCATCTGAAATATACAGCAGCAGAAAATTGGGTTTACACAGGATAACTTTAAACAAATGTAGTCCAAATGCTTAATACTGTAGATGTCAAATTTGTTAAATGTGTATACAAGTAACAATCTGTGTAACGTAAATTAAAATAAAATAAAATAAAACAAAATCTAGTGATTTGAATTATATAGGCCCTGAAATTATGTTGAAGAAAACACTGGAACTATGTTTTCTTTTCATATAGTCTATATTTTTTCAGGATGTAAAATGTTTCTTTCTACACTAACATGCTGGTGGCACTAAAACCTGAACCAATTTACCTCTAAAGCCCAGGATCAAATCTTCACCAGTCTGCACCGGCCCATAGCTGTCAGTTTGAATTTTTTTTTAAGGGTGCAACACATGACCTTAGAGAGTGATGGTGATTTACTGGTATCACAGTAACAAACTTTCTTTGTACATAATGGCACTAACTTTATGACATAGTGGACACTGATCTTCTCGGGAATGAAACTGTTTTTCATGAAAACAAAGAAGCTGTTTAACTAACCCTTGGGCCACAAACAAAGTTGAAAAATCGAGCAGTTCATTTGCATATATTTGCCCTAATGGTTTTTCCATTAGGACGAAAGACTCATCAGCATAATAAAATTGTTGGAGCAGGACGGAGAAACAGTCACAACTGGAGACAGAGAAGCCCATAAGCCAGTAATTCAGAATCAGCCATGCTTGCTAATAGCTGCTGCACAGTGGGACTTTTTCTGTAAAAAATGAGGTTTTGTAGTTGCTCTGATTGGCAAAATGTTCAACGTAAATGTTCATAAAGAAATTTAAAATTTTAAGACATTACAAGACCAATAGAAAACATCATGTTTACGTAAGGACCAGTTTTTGTTTGTTTTTTGCAGGAACTGTATTATTTATCAAAAAGTGTAAAAGAATAACATTAATTTACCAATTTCCTGTTGTCAAAACCCTTACTTTGACAAAAGTTATTTTTCATCATTTTTATTCTTAATTTATGTTCTATTAAAAAAAAATGCCATAAAATTTGAAAAGACTATTTGTCCTAGAGAAAACATATATTTTAAGATGTTTTACTCCACACACCAAAGCAAACATTGATGTGTAGACAAATAAATTCTGGGATGGATCCACCATGCTTCCTGTTACAGGTCCTTTTCATGATCCAGTTTAACACAAGCTTCCATTTATGATCGAATCCCACCAGCATAATTCCATGTGACGTCAGTGACTTCTTGGGTCCAGTAGTTAAACAATTGTGTCCAACTTTCATTTACAAGTTCTGTCATTTTTAACAGCATTCCATGTTCCATTTAATGGCACATTACAGTGGGTGAGACCAATTTATCATTGTGCAAAGACCTACTACAATTGCTGTTGAACTAATTGGATTATAAGCCAGTGTGAAATGTAGGTTGCCACTGAATGTGCGGGAGATGTTTCCTATTTTCCTGTAGGGTGAAATGACTTTTCCTGACATCAATCAGCTCCGTAAATTAATTGTTATTCCATCAAAACATTAAGCTGTGATATAAAGCTTCCTCAGAAATCAATGCCAAGAATTATTAAAAGCTCTCCAGCATCAGAATCATTTAAGTGTGATGGCAACTGTGAAATTCAGAGTAAATCTGTTCACAGTGTGCGGTGTTGTGAAATGAGTCGAAGACAACATATTAATTTCCCCCAACGGTATTTATGAAATGCAAAAAGAGCATTTGTAATACTTTACTTACTTCATTTATTTTTTCCAGCGTTTTGTATACTCCGTAAATGAAACCATTATTAGTAGTACTGTAATTGTAGTACAGACCCAGTCAAATAGGAGTTTTCAGGACATACTGTATATTGCTGCATACTGTATATATTTGGGTAAAATATTGTATTTGTCGTTAACAAGAGTTAATTTGCTTGAGTCAGTCTTCATTTCTGTCTGTCCTCTTCACGGTGTTGCAGCCCTTTTTAATGTGAAAATAGTCGTCTCTGCAGAATTTGGGTTCTCATATGACAATATAATTACACAACCTAGTTTCCTATTTGGCAAGGGTGTTTTTTATGGATGGATTATTTATTGCTTTCTTTTATACAACGCTGGCCAAATACGTATCATATCCGAACTCCTATGACAGAAATATATCTGAATCCTGAGAGTCTTTTTTTAAATAAAATGATTCATGTAAAATACAGCAAATATCTTTAAAACTTGTACGGTAATACGGATTAATTTAGCGCCCTAGCGTTGTCTGCACAAGCAACTGACAGCTGTGTGCATACAGGCAGCTCTACATAAACATGGACACAGATTTCTGCTGCAGACAGATTACAGAGGAAAGCAGTGGCTGTCTTAGACCATCTCAGACAAGCAGCAGGGTGCCCTGGTTCATGGAAACTGTGCGGCATCAGTAGTCACATCACAACATTGTGTTCCGACTGCAATTTCCAACCGCTGAGTGTTGAAGAGTGCAAACAGAGAGAGAGGCAGGGAGGGAAATTACACTCGTCACCTCTCTGATGTAGCCTGTCTAATGGTATGGTGTGTAGGCTGCAGACACACCCACACAATAAACCCAGCAAAAGGAGAAGAAAATGCAGCCTGGTGCTGATGATACAATATGGTTAGAATTGCACAATAATCACCAATCAACTACAAACAAAGGGGGTTGGAAATAAAAATAAAACATCAGTGTTGTTTTGGTTTTAGTTGGATGTTATACGTTGATGGAGGAATGAAGGTGGTTGATGGTTTAGAGTAATTACATTCCAGCTGATAAACAGAGTGGTAGGTGAGGAGGTACGTGGGCGTGAACTCATCTGAGGCGGTGATTGTGATTTCACTGGATACAAATTATATTAATCTGGCCAAAGCATCAACAGAGGACAACAGAACAGAGACAAACCCGACCTGACAAATGCTAAGGACAAAGACAAAGACGGAGGTGAATCATTTCGGAAACCATTTATATATTTCATACCTCTCCTTTTAAATCTGCATTTTAAACTCTTACGTACCGAGGTTGATATTTGCACAAAAATAGATGTTAGACACACGGTATCTTATAAAATCACATTTTTGTACACATTGTGTTTATTTTTTATTTCCTTTTCCCCAACATTCAAAACAGTGAAGTAGAGAGACACCTGGACTGTCTTGGTTTCTGGAAGACAACTCAACTCCTGTCCAAGAGGATTCTTCAGCTCAATCGACTTCAACTTCACTGCCTTAGATAAAAAATACCTGGATGACCCTAAAAGCTATGAATTAAAAAATAACTTTACTTTTTGGGCTATTTATTTTACTTGGAATCCACTTGATTCCTACATATAACATATTTATAAAAAATATCTGACACATCGCCATAATATTGTGTCTTTAGCAGTCATTCGGACTCACGTCCAACCTAATCACATGTAATCAACTCCATACTGTCTGCCCTGGAGATCATTGACGGCTGTAACAGGAGCTAGCCTCCAAAGCTGTGATAACTGGAAGAAATAATTAACCAGGAACAAAGGATGATAACAGTAAAAAGAAAAGGAAAAAGAAATGATTTAATTACAAAAGTCAGATCAAAGCTGCAAACACAGTGGGAAAAAACTATTTGTCATATTATCTTTACATTTCCAAAGTCAGAACAACAGATTATTATTAAAATAACTGTGCAACAAACCTTTTCTTCAAAAGCCCAGGATGACAGATTTGATATATCTGATTTGTGGCTAGTATGCAGCTGTAACTCTGCCACTGTCAAGTGATAAGAAGCATCAGGGTGAATAGAAGATAAGCTTTAAATTGTGATTTCTTTATGTACAAAACACAGCTGGTACATTTAACCATTTACTACCCGAAGTAGTAGACACAGAACCATGTGGACATACAGATTAGTACCAGGGCTGAGTTCAAGTCATTTTAATGCAGGTGAAGTAACATTATTGTCAACATATTCAGGGTAGGAGGAGGCAGACGTTGGCTTCTTTAGGTGTCCTGTGGTAAAGAAAACAATGAAGAAACCAGAGGGTGAGGAAAGCAGGACAAAGGGATTGCACCACATGTCAGTCTGACAGGCATTCTGATAGGGAGGGAAACAATCAGAGTGGGAAACCTGATAGATTGCACGCAAGCAGGGGGAGGAATTGTCAAAAACTGGCAAAATTGAGAGTAAATTGACCAAAAGATGTTGGCAAACGAGAGGATGAGCAGCAGGGTGCAGTTGACTGTGGGGGAAATGAGCTCCACTGCGCCCAGCAAGTACAGACGGACACAATTCTGTCTTCTGCAGAATTGTAATATATTCCTCCCTCAACCACATTCTATTTGCTCATTAGGATATTATAATGCACTGCAGAAGATGTTAAAGTGACTCTGCTGTCAACTGAGGAAGTTCTTAAAATGATCCTTAATGCCGACTGGCCCTCAGCCCTGATCACACTCACCTGTGTCTATTAGCCTCACCTGGTGCCCTGGGTATCCAGCCATGGTCCTTCCTGTTCCTTCTTGGTCCTGGTGGTTGTTCGTGCATCTCTTGTTGTCAGCCTTCTGCTCTGCTTGTTCCAAGTAAGTTTTCTGTTTCGGTGTTTTGAGTTCTGCTTCTGTTCGTGTTAATAAAGAACTGTATGTGGTCCTGTGTCTGCTGTGCCATATTTAGATCCTGCCCCTGCACATTGTTTCAGGAAGTAAGGATGTTAACCTCTGGGGAGGAATCAGTGTGAACTGAGTGTACTAGGAATCCTAAAGTGACTTTCACTTGTGTGAACTTTCACTGACAAGGAAATGATTTCAATTTTTTATTTTTATTTTTAGCCCAGTCCAGTGACAGTTGTGGTATTGTTTTATCTTTTTCTCTTTTTTTTTCATCCCCAAAAAATCAATTTACTTCCACCATATCACAGTGTTGTCAGGTCTGAATCCATAGCAACGCAGTGTTTTATTTTGTCACAGTAAGGTTTGAAAATGTCATTTGCCTGATGGGCAGCATTATTGTCTGTGAAATTACTGTGGGTACTTTCATGTAGAGAACAGAGAAGATGGACATCTGTCCTGTCCTAATTTCCCCGTCCTACAGAACAACAGGAAAGGAACAGACTTTGTTCTTTCTTATAGATTACAAATGAGCTTCTATAAGATCACACTTATTGTAGGAAACAAGGTAATAAAAGTTCCTCTTTGTCTGCATTACATACAGTGAAGTAATTTTTTTTTGAGTATTTCAACTTTGAAGGAAAAAAGTGTTTCCCACCAATGTTAACTGCCTTCAGTGTAACTACACCAAGTGTTTGTCAGTTTCTTTCTTTGTCTTGTAATCAATCAATCAATTTCTGCCCAGCGACAATTCAAATGCCATGAAATGTGAGCACATGACAGTATTGACAAAGGGTTAATTGTGACAAGCAAGGGAATTTAATCATTTAGATTAGATGTCCACTGCTACTGTTGGAGAAAGACAACTGGTAGTGTAAGGAATATTTCCACAGGAAAACCTTTTTTTTCCCCCTATAGACAGTGTTATCTGGAAGTAAATATTATAATTCTGCTTACATTTGCAGAACTATAACACAAATAATTATTTGAATTGCCAGTAATAAGACATTAATATTGTTAAACGTATTGCATCTGTGCATCACATCTGTCTGTAAGTTGAAATGCAGACAAAATACAGTATATATGTACAATGTAACTAATGTTCATTACTAACAGTACAACAATAAAATATTAGCTGGTGAGAGGATGAATCATTGAAGATCATAACATAAAATCAGATAGTTCATCATATTTTGAAACCATATATTTGATGGCTTCAAATGTTGATAGTTTCAAATATTTTTTTTGAGCGTGCATTTCTGTATGACTTGCAGTTCTTTATCCAAACAAGGAACAAAGCAGAATTTTTCTAAATGTGCAGAAGAGCTGAGAGTCAAGGTTGTACTACTGAGCACTTAAGACCAAAAGTCTGCGTTAACCTACGTGTGGAGACAATACCCTGACTTCAGAGCAAACAAACCTCAGGTTGGACGTTTTAGAAACTCTGAAGTGCTCTGAGTGAAGGTGAAAATGATCAAAAGCCTTTCTGCCTTCTTTTTTGTTACCATTTTCCTAACTACAATGGGGAAAATAATTTAAAGTCTAAGGAAAAATAAGTATTTAGAGGGATTCTGGCAAAATACTGTAGTAAGTTCACAGTACAGGTCTGAGACAGGAACAAGGTGAAATCTTTTATGTATTTGATATTGCCTTTTAATACAAAAGACTTTATATGTACAGATGAACATGACACTGTACAGTAAAACAATTAACGAGTGGAACACATTTTGTCATTCTCCATTATTATTGATTAAGAATATTTTAAATTTGTTTTGTTTAGCTTTTTAAAATGTTTTTTTTTATTATTTATTACAAATCTCACACAGAGCACATCACTATCTTGGGGCTCACACACGTCTGGCACCACTCTGGAGTGTTTTTCTGCCACTCCTGACTTGGTACACACTATTTGTTTTGTATGTTTGTTCATACAAAATTCCAAAAACTGATCCAATAGTATATAATAAAATATTTCCATTTCAGGTTTGTGATGATCTGGAGTCAGCAGTAGGAAGACGGTTCAGAGGGCCACATAGCCTGACAAAGACCATTTACACTCTCGTCTGGGACAACATGCCAACTCCATATGGCAAACGAACATTGAACCAGCACACTGGTGACCTTTTTGCTGTAAGGTAAGAGCGCTTCACTGTTGTACTGCTCTGCCCTAACTTGCCTGTATCATAATTCCTACTACTTCCTATTAGTAATAGAGTAGTTCTAATAATACAGTATATGAAGCAGTAACAATTAAAACAGGTTTTCAACGCCGTGAGAGCTGAGAGGATCAATAACAATAGTCTTCTATTGCCATTACTGGTTGCTAGAACAATAACATCCTCTTTTAAAAGTATCTACTAGTATGCACCTTTGGTGAAATATCCGGGGTTTACTCGGGTTTACTTATGTATCCATGTGTGTTGTCTATGTTGTCTGGAATCTGTTGGACAAATCCCTCTGTAATCATATATTCCTTCAGAACAAAATGTGCTGTTCCTGAAATGAACAAAATGCTATATATTGTGGTAAATTTACAACATTGAATTAGCCATGACGTTGTAGGACAGGCTGCAGCAGTACAGACTCTACTGTTTACACCATTTTCTTTAGAAAGGTGGCAAAAATGTATTTGCCAGCCTAAAATGATGAACAACATGGAGGCCTCGCAGAGCGGAGACAGGCACCATAGCAACGATGGAAAGTTTGAAAAGTTGTGATTAGCGGCAGCAGCAGCAGCAGCCGTGCTTGTGTTGAGTCATTGGACTGGAACAGATATACGTTAATTGGAAGCAAATCTGACAGCTCTGTGGAGAGAGGAGGCACACGGAGGGGAGAGGCAACTCCATAAGTAGATACTACCTAGACCTAGGAATGTATAAAACAGTAAGCATCTAGTTTTGAAGAGGGTACTTCAAACGCCTTGTCCTCATTATGTTTTTATTGTTGGTTTGACAGCCTGTATTCCTCCTTACTTTGTACATCAAGTCTTAGGAAAGCACAGGGGGCGCACCAAAGGTCTGCATTCACAATTACTCAGAGTTTTTTTTTTTTTTTTAAACGTGTTTGTTTGCCTTAACTTTGAACTTCATTCACGGTTGGTGATTCTTAAGAACAAACGTAGTGGAGCAATGCATTCAGAAGGAAATAAGAAGAAATTAGGGGGTCTAGATGCAGTGTTCATGAAGAACGTGGGTGGGATTGAAGTCCTGGTGGAGTGATGGGCAGGTATGCTGCTAGAAAAAAAAAGCAATCCTTTCGAGTTTTCAGGGTGAACTATGGGTGTTTTTGAAGCTGACAGCTTCCCTACTACCTGAAAGAGCACAGTGGG